GCCTGCAGGCGCCATCATTGTAATGGAGAATGCAGGGACGGCTCCCTACAGCAGTGCCCCATTTTGTAGACAGGAGGTGCAGCTGGGGAGGGTAAGTCACCTGGCCATGGTCTTGTGTTGCTTCTGGCCCCACAGTCACCTGATTAGCCTGAGCATAAACTTTCATGGGGGCATCTACCTGCTGCCTTGGCTGACATATTATGACCATTTTTTTTTTAAATCACCGCTGTCTAATCCTCACAGTACTCTTTGAAAAAGTGTTCATTGTCACTTTAGGATGGAGACACATGATATTTACCTCTTCTGTTTGAGTCTCAGCCCTCGAGGACTGTGGTGTGGCCTCATAGCCCCTGTCCTCAGTCCAGTGGTTGGTTACTGTCACCACACAGTAGCTTCTCAACTTGTAGGATGACAATAGTAGGATTTCACACAGCTAGACACATTTAATCTTTTTAATGAAAGCATTTAAAGGAGTGATGGAGAGATGTTTCAGCTGGTGAAGTGCCCACTGTGCAGGCATGAGGACCTGAGTGTGGGCCTAAACACCCACAGAAAAAAACCTGCATTGGCAACATGCATCAGTAACCCTGGAGAGGAGATATTATGATAAAAAGTTGATCTCATCCAGCTTTATTTTAGCTCTTCTCCCAAATAACAGTTGTTCAGAGTGCTCAATAATGTACTTTTACTACTGGTTTATTCATTTAAACCATCTTCTGATCTAATTTGGCTCACAGCAAACTCTCCTTCCTCTTTCTGCTCAGCTTGGTGATGTCACTAGTTTTTATTGTTTGATGTTCATCTTTGAAACATCAAGTGATACATTCAAACTTCCTTCTCTTACATGTACAAATGTAACATGCAGACCTTAGCATTCCTACCTTTTGTGGTTTCAATATGAAATGTCTCCCAGAGGTTCAGGTGATTGAACACATGGTCCCCAGAGAGTGCTCAGGTGTGGAAGGTCTCAGAGCCTGTAAGAGCTGGACCTCACTGGAGGAGGTGTGTCACTGGAGGTAGGCCTTGAGACCTTCACTGGAGGTAGGCCTTGAGTCTCTAGTTCAGTCTCATCTTCTGTCTTCTCTCTGCTTCTTGACTTAGAACGAAATGTGACCAGCAGCCTTATGCTCCTGCCACTGTGCCATCTGCACCATAGTGGACTGTGCCCCTTCTTAACCAGGAGCCAAAGTAAGGCCTTCTCTCCTTCCTTTGCTTTTGTGGTGTATTTTTGCTAGGACAACAAGAAAGTACCTGACACAGCAACCCTTCCTAGTCCCTCCTTTCAAACTGTCATGGTTCTCATTTTTTTCTGAAACTCTCGTGGTTGTTGTACTTCTCTTTGGTAACTGTATGTATCCTGCTTTGGAACATTGACACCATGGCTGATGCAGAACAGGGTAGTAGATTCTTCCTGCATGTATTATTTTGGAGTGTGGGTCATGGTTGTTAAAAGATGCTGTTCCTAATATTAACTACAAATGTATTGTTTTCCTTTTGTACATAACATAAAAGCTATCCCATGAGCTTTAAGACATCTGGATGGTGTGGAGGTATTTGGGGGTTGTTTGTTTTTTTTGAGATAGGGTCTCACATAGCCCACCCGGGCCTCAAACCGTTCATGTTGATGAAGTTGACTTCTTGATCTCCCACCTCCACCTCTCAAATGCTGACTTTATAGGTATGCGTTATCTAAGATTTATTTTTGATTGACATGTAACACAATGGCTAACAGCTTTCCCCATAAGTCAGCAGTTCTCAATCCTCGTGACCACATGGGTCACGACCCATTTGGGGTTGCATATCAGATATCCTGCACTTCAGATATTTACATTGCAATTCATTACAGTAGCAAAATTACAGTTATGAATTAGCAATGCTAGTTATAAGGTTGGGGGTCAGCACAGGAGGAACTGTATTAAAGGGTCACAGCATCAGGAAGGTGGAGAACACTGCCTTAAGTATTTACCTCGTGTTTGTGTTAAGAACTTAAGCACCCTCTCTTCTGGCTACTTTGAAGTATGCAGTACCCAGTAATTGTAGTTACTCTTCTGTGCAGGCACATCTGAACCCCATTCCTCCTGCCTCTCGGCACCTGCCATGCTCCAGCTCACATGGCGTGGAACAAGAGAGGCTCACATCTCTGCCCTCTGGGCCAGTTAGAGACAATACTGAAAAGCAGGGATTTCTTCAGTGCGGCCACATTGGGAAGAGGAGTGAAGTGGGGCCATTGACAGGAGGTTTAGGTTTAAAGAGAGGGCAAGAAGCATGCATAGCTACCAGCCTAGGTCAGAGTGTGGGATAATCATCATTGTTGTCTTCACTCTAGTTTCCCCTGCAGGATGTTCTGACAAATGGTCAAATGTGTGTGTGAAGTCTCTTTTCTGTAGATAGCAG